ATGAAGATAGTGTAAGGAGCCTCTGGAATAACTTAAGAATACCAATATTTGCATAATAAGGCAGGGGAATGCCAGAAAGGAAAAAGGAGGGACCAAAAAATTGAAAACCTATTTGAAAAAATAATTTCAGAAAACCTCCTATACCTGGTGAAAGAAATAGAGATGCAAGTCCAGGAAGCACAGAGATTCCAAAAAATAAAAAAAGATGAATCCAAAGAGGCCCACACCAAGACACATCATAATTAAAATGCCAAAGGTTAATGACAAAGAGAGACTCTTAAAAGCAGCAAGAGAGCTTTAACCGGTTTGGCTCAGTGGATAGAGTGTCGGCCTGTGGACTGAAAGTCAAGGGCATATACCTGGGCACATTCCCAGTAGGAGGTGTGCAAGGGCAGCTGTTTGATGTTTCTCTCTCATCAAAGTTTCTCTATCCCTCTCCCTTCCTCTCTGTAAAAAATCAACAAAATATATATATGTTTTTAAAGAGCAGCAAGAGAAAAGCAGTTAATTATCTACAAGGGAGTGCCCATATGATGCCAGCTGATTTCTCAACAGGAACTTTACAGGCCAGAAGGAGTGGCAAGAAATATTTAAACTGATGAAAAGCAATAATAACCTATAACCAATATTATTCTACTCAATACAGCTATCATTTAGAATTGAAGGTCAGCTAAAGAGCTTCCAGACAAGGAAAAGGAGTTCACCACACCAAACCAGTATTATATGAAATGTTAAAGGATCTTCTAGAAGAAGGAAAAGGAGGTGGAGGAGGAAGGGGGCCGGGGGGAGGGGAGGGGCACAGAGATGAAATGGGAAAAGGAAGAGGAGCAGGATGAGAAGGAGAAAAGGAAGACAAAATGGGAAGAGGAGGAGGAGAATAAGAAAAAGAAGCAGAAGACACAAAAAGTATGAACAATAAAATGGCAATAAATACATATCTATCAACAATTGAATCTAAAAATCAAAATAAATAAACAAGCACAACAGAACCAGACTCATAGATACAGAGAACATTTTGACATTTTTTAGATAGGAGGGGGTGGGAAGATGGGTGAAAAAGGAGAAGGGATTTGGCAATACAAATTAGTCATAGCTCATGGACACAGATAATAGACAGGTGAAGGCCTGGGATGGGTGAGAGATAAGTGCAGGGGGCCAAGGGAGAAAAATGGGGGACACGTGTAATACTCTCAACAATAAAATAAGATTTAAAAAATATCAATGAAGTTTAACACATTATATGAATAATAGACAAAAATTACAAATAACTAAAATTTATTCATGAACAAATATCAAACCCAAATATAACACTAATCATTAAAGGAATTAAGTTGTCAATCAAAATTTTCCCTACACAACAACAAAAGACAAGAAGTATTCAAAATTTTATAGATGAGTTTTATAAAGCCTTGAAGGAAATAACCCATTTTTACTGAAAATATTTGAAGGAAACACAAAGATGAAGTAACATACTATTGATGTCAAGGTCAGATGTCTGAAATGAGCAAATCTACAGTATATGGGCAAAATACAGATTAGTGATTGCTGAGGGGGAGGGTTTGGAGTGTTACTGCCTTTAGTTATGGGGATGATGAAAATAATTTGGGATTGGCTTGTGGTGATGTTTGCACACTCTGTGAATGTGCTAAAGACCATGGCATTGAATTGAACAGATAAACTCTGTGATGTATGAAACATAATTTCAATAAGCTGTTAAAAAGAAAAGATCAGATGAATGCAAGAAAAAATTATACTATCTCACCTATGAACATAAATAGGAAATTCTTAAGTTAAATATTGATGAAAGTTAATTCACTTTTTACTATTCTAAGTAGCATTATTTCTTTCTTTTTTTAAAATCAATCTTTATTGTTCATATTACAAAAGATCCTCATTTTTCCCCCCTCCACCAGTTCCCATCCCACCCTTTACCCTTTCCCACCCCCCATTGTCCTCATCCATAGGTGCACAGTTTATGTTCAGTCTCCTTCCGCACCCACCATTCCCCTTTTCCCCGAGAATTGTCAGTCCACTCCCCTCCCATATCTCTGATTCTATTATAATCAACAGTTAATATTGTTCATCAGGTTTTTTAATTTCCTTGGTTTTTTTTAATTAATAAACTTTTATATTTTTAAGAATAAATTTTAAAATCTAATAATTTTAAACCTTGTTTTTTCTGCTCTGGGAACTGAAAAGCAAACTTGTTTACACTTAAACTTGCCCTTGGGCTATCAAAAGGCATAGCTATTCAAATGTAAATGAACACGTTGTTTAAAGATAACTGCTGGCTGGAATTGGATTACCTGTTCTGGGTGGGAAGGGCATGTCCTCCCCTTTCTCCATTAAAATTAAGGTGTTAGCTTTAAAACCTCTTTTTGGCAAAAGACCTTAAACTTTCAGAACTTTAAATTTTTCAGGTAGCAAATCAATTACTTAGCATTTTCTCAAATCAATAATACCTCCACATTCCCAAGTATACACTTCAAACAAAAGACACATCCAAATAGATCAACCAACCTCATCCAGACCCCACACAAGGCACTCACAGATCAACACCCCAGCGCTACAACAACTCAAACACATCCAGATCTAAGCCTTCATCACTTGATTCAGCAGACCCTCAAGTTCCCCCAAAAGTTTCCAGTCAGGTCTGAGAAGCAGCCCTGGGGTGGGGGCAGGCAAGGAGCAAGCTGTTCCGGCCTGGTTGCTCCGGGTCTGGCCGCTGTTGCTCTGGGCCTGGTTGCTGCCACTCCGGGCCTGGATGCTGCTGCTGCTCTGGGCCTGGCCGCTGCTGCTCCGGGCCCTGCTGCTGCCATTCCAGGCCTGGCTGCTGAGTAGCATTATTTCAAGAATGCAGCAATTGTTCAACCAGAACACCTACTGTAACAATTTATTATTTTAAAAATCAAATAATAAGAACCATATGACTATTTTGATAAAATTTTTTTATTAAACAGGTATTTATTCCATGCTTAATATGTATAGACACTATATATTAGTAAACAAAAAAGAAAAAGTTCCGGTAATCAATAGAAATAAAAAACACACATATGAGCCCACCTGGTGTCACTCAGTGGTTGAGCATCTACCTATGAACAGAAGGTCCCGGTTCATTCCTAGTCAAGGCACATGCCCAGTTTTCAGACTCAATCCCCAGTAAAGGGTGTGCAGGAGGCAGCCAATCAATTATTCTCTTTCATCACTGATGTTTCTCTATCTCCCTCACCCTTCTTCTCTGAAATCAATAAAAAATATATATATTCTTAAAAAATAAAAACAACACATTTGATAAAATTTTACATCAGTTCTCATGTACTAAGTCAACAGTATTGATCAAAACCAGAACAAACATTCTTAATGCTGAAACATGAGAAGTTTTCTCACTAACCCAATAAAAAAGATGTCCATATTATAGACTGATGTCCAATAAATTAACTTTACAATATGAAACATAAAAATTGGGATGAAAAATAAATTATTTTCCTTATTTAAGGTAAAATAATTAGACTATATTTTAAGATAAAAAATTAAAATGTAATTTTCCTTTATTTATTATGAAGTAATTAAAAACCCAATAGTATCTTAAGCCATTAGAACTAAGAAAATAATTCAACAAACTTGACAGGTACAAGATCAGTGTACAAACCACCAAGCAATCCTACATACTAGAAATAACAAAGTAATCACTGTAGTTGAATTTTAATTCATAATGAGAACAAAAATTAGAATGTATTTGGTAATATAGCTAACAAAGTAGTGTATGACCTTTATCAAAATAAAATTCTTCAGTAGCAACAGCAGAACATCCTTCATGCATGAAAATCTTGTTGAACTTTTGCATAACCACCACATTGCCCAGCCATGACCAAACTGTGAGTCCATAGCCCAGAACTAGGCTCACAAGGAAGGAAGAGATTTGCATTCACATAGTAGGCTATTCTACTCATATAATTATTTCCAACTTCTTTGGCAGTGAGGTCCCTCTGGTGAGACTCCATCCTAGATATATTCTCATTTCTTTGCTCATAATTGACATATTCAACATTTATTTATTGTACAGCAAGCATATTTTTTAAAAAATTATTATTAAAAATGTAGTGCGGGTGCCAAAAAATGTCCTTGATCTCTTTGAGTTTATATTCTCTGCAGCTGAGAATGCAAATCGAAGGGAACAATGACAGTTGATAGGTTGTAAATAAGCAAAAACCAAAGATAATTTCAAAAAGAAATAATAATTAATTTTTACCACAATTTTCACCCACACATCTCTCACAAACTTCCTTTTCACTAATTCTCCAACTGTGTTTCATGATCTAAGAGACCTCTGCTGAAATTCTGTTGGCTGCTTTTTGAAGTTGCTACAGGCCTTGTGCAGCAGTTGCTCTGCTATTGATGCTCTCCTGTTCTGCCATTTCTACCGCATCACTGGGCTGAGTGCCAGAGCAGGTTGTCGAGCAGTGCACACGAGCTGGGGAATCTTTTTTTTTCTTCCTTTTATCATGGGGCCCTCACAAGATTTTTGGCTATTATTAATTGGCTTGAAGAGGATAAACAAATGTGCTATTTGTGGTCTTTATTGGACATGCATAAAGTCAACAATCACTTTCAAATTCTCCATTGTCTATACCTGCAATGCCATCCATGCTGGCACCAATATATGTCTTTTAGGTCATTTCCTTGCAAATGACAGAATATAATTCTGACTTGCTTAAACAATGAAAATTAAGACAACAACAATAATTAAAGAGGGAATTCATGAATTTGGTTTGGGGTAGCTCACAGCATCCAGGGGAGAGTCAGAGTGGCAAGTTGGTAAAAAAAAAAAAAAAAAAAATAGACTTGGTGTAAGTCCATTTGGTTCTAAATTCCAACCCCACCACATAGCCCTCTGAGTCAGTTTCTTCCCTCTTTTTAAAATAATGATAACTGAAGCCTTTACATAAAGCACTTGTGGCTAAATACACATCATGTACATAAAATGCTTGGCACATTCCCTGACATCATACAAATATCTGATCATGTGTTCTTATTACAATTCATGTTTATGTCTGCCTTGAAAAGGAAGAAGCTAGGATAACACTAGTGATCTTATCAGTGGGCCGCGGGGATTGGCTGTCAGAGTACTGCAAACAGAATGGCTGACCTCTGCCTCTCTGAATCTCTCCTCATTAAAATTCCTACAGAGTGAATGGTTTGACATTGACCATATACTAGACACTGTGCCAGGAAGAATGAACGAATAATGAGCAGGGACAGGGAGAACTAGGGGTCACCATGGTTAACAAAATCTATAATTAACAGTCTCTCTGGAACCATATTGATCAAGTGGAATTTAGCTGCTAGAAGCATGGCAAAGATAGACGGAGTATAATAAAAATGTGTACCATACTGTGTGTAATATTTTAAATATTTTTCTAGGAAAAATACCTAGGACCACTTATCTCTGACTCAGACTCAACTGATAACATTCTAAGAAACTTAACTCCACCTCTGCTTAAGTATTCTTAAGAAAAGCTGTAGGGAACCTTGCAGATCCTGACATCAGAAAATTCTTCTGAATATCCAGGCACTACTTATTGCACTTCTACCAAGAATCCTCATCATTCTGGTGCTATTATTTGAAGCACCAGAAACATTTCCTCAACATTCTTTTCACAGCGTCCTTCATCTCCTTGTTCTTCAGGCTGTAGATGAGGGGATTCAGCATGGGGGTGATCACACTGTACTGCAAGGAGAAGAATAACTCTCGAGTGGATCCAGAATTGGGCATGAGATAACGGAGAAGTCCCGAACCGTAAAAGAAGATCACTGCAGTGAGGTGGGAGGAGCAGGTAGAGAAGGCCTTGCTTCTGCCTGTGGTGGAGCTGATGGCCAGGATGGTGGACAAAATGCGAACGTAGGAGAAAAATATCAGGAGAAAATTTCCAAAGAAATGCAGGATGCTGGAGCAGAGCAGGGCTGTAAAACTTGCAGTCACATCAGAGCAGGACAAAGGGTAGAGAGAGGGCAGCTCACAGCAGAAGTGGTGGATATTTTGAGCCTCACAGAAGTCTAAATTGAGAGCTACAAGGATATTGATGAGAGCATCCAGAAAAGCCAAACCCCATGAGGCCCACACTAGCCCCATACAGAGCTGTCTGTTCATCACCTGGCCATAGAGCAGAGGAGACCTAATGGCAACATAGCGGTCATACGCCATCACGGTGAGTAGGCAGGACTCAGTGCCCCCAGAGGCAAACAGAAAGAAGACCTGAGCCAGGCAGCCTTCTACTGAGACAGTTTTCTCCTCAGACAGCAGATTCTCCAACAGCTTGGGCACAGTGACAGAGGAGTGGCAGAGATCGAGGAAGGACAGCTGCCTCAGGAAAAAGTACATGGGGATGTGAAGATGAGAGTCAAACCCAATCACCAGCAGCAACATCAGATTGCCCATCAGGGTCAGGAGGTAAATAACAAGGAACAGCACAAAGAGCAGAGCCTGGGTCTGGGGGTCCGCAGACAGCCCCATGAGGATGAACTCAGAGATGACACTGTGGTTCCTCATTGCCTTCAGCATGTTCCTGGGAATGTCAGAAATAAACTGGGGGAAGCCTCTGCTAATGTCTGATATCTCAGTGTTTTAACCCTATTCTCCATTCACAAAGTTTCATGCCTACTCAAAAGTGTATTTCTGAAATGCTAAGTCTCTAGATTTCCTAAAACCTGTTATAATCTTTTCTATCGAATCCCAATGATAGATCAACTTCCTGTCCACACTTATTGTTCTTTCTGTAAAGTCTTAGAGTTAATTTGTTGTTGTTTTATTATTAAATCTACAGAGGGATGTTTGTAAACAGTTGATAATAATCCAGCAGAAAAAGAAATTCCAGGAGGAATGAGATACAATTGCAGAAATGTCTATGAGAGCAGCTGGGTTTCAGAGCAGAAACAGCATGGATGGTCTTAGGTGAGAGTGGGTTTACTTCATCCACAAAACATTCATGAAGTCAGTAGATTTGGTGTTAGGAAGGAAGCGCTTCTCATCTGATTGCTTTTGTTATTCACTGAGATCACTAATGGAAAGTGAAGAGGGGTAGTGGCTGGACATTTGCCCAGTGAGGAGAAATGGGGTTAATTAGAGACAAAGCAGCACAGAGCTATTCCAGATACTATGTAATTTATCACACAAAAAAACACACACATAAAAAACTGCTGACGGATTTGAAAACATACTCTGGTCATAATCTCCATGCCCCGTTTGTGTGATCTATTCAGAATCAGCTCTTGTCAGAGCCTTCATGCCACTTGTAAATATAGACTACACTCTAACTTTCAAAAGCTTGACCCTTTTTACCATCTGACAACCCAGATTGCAACTATCAGCTCAGGATAACCCTTCAACACTATTAACACACCATCTTGACCCTAATGTGTTCATACTACAAGACCGGCACATTCGGTTTCTCAAAAGCCATGATTTTTTCCCACTGTTTTTGTTTTGTTTTGTTTTGTTTTTAAGGTATTATATGTGTACATATCTTTCCATTGCCCCCTTTCCCCACTGTTTATCCAAACAACACACAGCACTAAAGCTGCTCTTAAAAAACAATTCCACATTACCTGCATTTCTTGCCTCATTGAGCAATAACTAACACTGAGTTAAAGAAAAACCTTTGAAAATCCAGTAGTCCAGAAGATTTAAATATCAGTGTGAGAATATTATATTAAGGTGGAGTTTAAAAATTCCTGTTGATATAGATCTCCTCCTTGATTTCTAAAAGAGGAAAATACATGGATAAATTGTAAAAGCCTAAATACTTCCAGTCATCTGGCAATTGCATTATCTTTTTTTTTTTTTTTAGATGTTTTCTTTGCTTTATTACAGTTTGCAAGCAATAGTATATATACACATATATATGTGGCATTTTAAAACAACCAGGTGTGCTAGAAAGGTGTCTTTTTCTTTGCACCCGGATTTCCTGAGCCCTTTATATTAACTGTATTATTGGGCAGGCACTAGGCAAACATTTAAAAACCTTTGAGCTTCCTACTCACACTTCCCCAAATCCCACCTTCTCCATTACATGAGATATTAATATTAAAAACACGAGGGAAATACATATTCATCTCATTTCCTGTAAGTTCCTTTTCTCTGTTTTTTACATAACCAAAGATGATGGCTCGGTTATGAATTCAAAAATGCTCCCAACGTTCTTGATGATGATTCGTAGAGAAATCTTTCCCTGCTGTCCTCTTCCAAAGTGATCTCCATGAATGTCTGCAGTTTCCTGTGAACGGCAGCTGCAACATCCTTCACTCGGGAGCTTTTATGCTTACCTTTATTGATAACCAAAATAATATGCATAACAGCCGTGAGACACACAATTCCTTCAATATCGTCAGAAGTAACACACATCTTTAACTCATCTAAAAATGACCTGACCACATTCGGAGATTTTATGATTATTCCTATTAAACACCTTGAAAATGGGGGCAGGTCTGAAAGATACTCTGGGGGGGAAAGGTCTTCTACATCAGAAACCCGCAGGCCTTCTTCCGGTTTCTTCTTAAAGCTCCAGGCCATACACTCCAACATTTTCTGAAAGACTTTCTGGATCATATCAAACAGCGTTGCAACTTCTTCGTCTGAATCTGTTTTCTGCTTTAAGGAACTTTCAGTTACCTCTTTTAGAATGCCAAGAAGTAATGAAACATAAAAGAATCCCTTCACTGTGTGCATGATTCTGAGACTCCAATGTAAAAGCTGTATCTGAAACTTGCCATCTCCAAGGCCGACCATCACCACATCTTTGCCCACAGTCAGGTAGGTCTGGATGATCTGCTGATAAATAAGCCGATGGCGTTTCAGATAGTCTTCCTCTTTGTGGGATCCCTTAACACGACCCGCGTGGTTCAGGGCCCACTCAGGGTCCGGTTTCTGGAGAAGGCCGCACACTAAAATGAAGAGAGAGACTGGAAAAGAGTTAATTTGGGAAAATGGGGGCCAGGCGGGAAGTCTACCTCTAGTGGGAAGACTAACCGCTCTTTGGCCTTTTACCATTCCTTTTATTGAGATTCTGAAACAAAGATATCTCTTAAGGAGGAAGTTCTAACAGCAGAAAATCAACTTACATTTACATATGATTAACAGATTAAAGTTGCCTCAAGCACTACTATCTCAACTATACAAAGAGTTAATGCCTCTGACCATTCAGAGCCATCAAGGTCGCATAGCTCTTTTTACATTTTATCTCCAATGACAATGCTAGGTTTTGGTTCCCTGTTCCTGGTTCCTGGTTCCAGGTTCCCGGCATCTCCCCCCAATTCCTTCCTTTAAAAAATCTTGCATTTATGTACCAGGAATAAAACATATAAGAACAAAAATTGTTTATGAGTCCCAATTTCAAAGTTCAAGAGTTCTAAGTCTAAGTTTCAATGTCTAAAAGTTTTGAGTCCAGGCTTCAATGTCCAAAAGTTCTGAGTCCAAAAGTTCTTCACGTGTACATGTCACCAATGGTATCTGCATGGTGGACAAATGGTGGTGATACAGGTCTGATCGTCTCTAGTTTGGTCCTGGACATCCTGCAGGACACACAGCTGCTGACTGCTGGCATGGCAAGGTGTAGTCAGCATCTTCCATGTCTGGACTGTTTCTCCTCCTGTCTTCATGGCTGGAGCATTCCTGCTAATTACTCTGTTGCAGGAATCCACATGGTCTTGGAGTTTTCTGAAAATATACAAACATATCTCGACCAAAATTAATAAAGGAATCTTTTCTATAAATTTTACTTGGGATCCTTTTAATTTTTTGCCCAAACAATTTTTCTTTGACTTATTTTGATACTATGTGTATTTTTCATGGCTGTCTTACTGTTATCATTACAAATGAAAATTGGTTTTCAAAAGAAGAAAAATTTTTCTAGATGTAATTTACTCACAGGACATTTTTTCTTACATGGTATTTTCCACTATCCCCCTTTTTTCTATTTAATTGTTAGGAGGCTTTTGAAAAAATTTTTATAATGCTGTTTTGATAACTTTTAAATTTTAATTCTTTGTACAAAAACTATGACTGCTTTAGGGTTTATTGTATGTTAAACAATTTTACCATGAAATGGACTACCAATAGAAATTTTGGTTAATACTTTAGGAACAGCCTGTTGTACAATTAAATTTTCTTGAATATTAACTCATTTCATTTAACCAATTTAAATTAATCTGAAAACTTGACTATTTTACTGTAACAACAATTTTAGTAATTACTCTGTAAATATTAATGGAAAAGATTATATGCATCCTTGAGGAAGCCCTGAGCACTCATAGATTTAGGCTGGATTTAGATGTAGGACAGTCGCCATCAGCCACTTCTCTGTTGCTTGGGTCTCAATATGAGCTGTGCTAAGTCTCTTGTTTGTAGCTGGGTCTCAATCTGAGCTGGACCAAATCTGTTTGTTGCCTGGGTTCCAATCTGAGCTGGGTATGGGAAGCATGAAGCAGCCATGGGGCAGGAGACATCCCTCAAAAGGGCAAGTGTTCAGCGTTGGGGGGGTGAGGATCTGTGCCCCACCTCTGTTGGCCCCCAAGTCCTCTCCTGATGGCCCTCTGCGGCTGTGCCTGTCTTAGGTTGTCCCTCCCTTGAGGAATCTTACCCGTCATTGGCTAACCAGCCATCCTCCGGGGCCAAGCAGGGTGATGTGAGGTTCAATTCTGTCTCCTTGGTAGCCTATGCCCTTATGGCCTCCATGCCCAGTATCTGCCTTGGGATCCCCTCACCTGCTGGCGGGGCCCCGGCATTGATCACATATCTTGGGGAACCCAGGTTTCTTCTCCAGGGAGGTCCCAGCTCACGCCATTGTGCGAGAGACGGATCCATGGTACCAGCCACCACGAGGCTTTAACCTCAGCATGAACTGAAAAACTCAAGCAACAGCTGTGGGCGACTGGATTGTGACAAGAGGGTCCCTCCTTGCAAATAAGGCAAGAAAGGCCAATATAGAATCCTCAAGTGCCTTCCCAGTGAGGCTTTCCACACAGTGGAAGGGATTAAATCTTTTCATGTCCTTTTAAATTGCTGCCAAACATTCAAAAATTAGATTTTTAATTTTGTTTGGAATAATTGTACAATATGCTGTTGTAAAATATCAAAAATTATAAATGACATTGTAGAATAATACCATGCAAGGATATTCTTTGCTCGAAGCCAATGGCAATTCAAATTCAAACTGGCTGTCAATTTCTTTTTGTATAGACAAGGTCTTAGTTACATTCTCTGCACCTCTCCCAGGAGCAAGTACTGATATTCCTAATTATACTTCCTTGCCCCACCCATTTTCTTCCTGGATGACCAACGTGCTTAGTATTATTGGTGACTACATTGGCAAGGGATCAGCCCACATAAGGGCTTTTACCCATGAAGGATCAGGAACATAAGTCCTAAACACTTCCACATTTGTCCCAGGTAATATTACTGTACAGATGATTACCGCTAACATGGCAAGAAAGACATTCTCAGGGGTCAGGCATCTATACCGTCTTCTTTACCATGCCCCAGGTGTTCTCCGGGCTGTTTGCTGTCCGGCTCGTCCTCCTGCTCATCTTCAGTGGACTGCTTGGAGTCACTGCCCTCTGTAGCTGGAGTAGTTGATTGTCTGCAGCTGCATGGTGTGGCTCCAGACGCAAGGTCCTTATTAGTCTGGCTAGTTTCTCTCCTGGATCCCTGTTGCAGTTTAATATTTCTAGCAGGAATCCACACTGGTTTGGAAAAATTTTCTGGGAATATACAAGCATACCCTCTGCCAAACGTTAACAATGGATCAGGTCCCTTCCATAAACCAGATTCGGGATCCTTCCATTTAACTAGACCATTTTCTTTTGTTTTACTCTGATGCCAATGTATTTCCATAGGCGTCCTTCCTTCATCATCACAAGTGAAAAAGTTTAAAGTAATTAAGGCTTGGTGCAGCCTACCTGCAGGTGATTTCTCCATCATCCCACCTTTTTGTTTTTCAAGTTGGGATTTTAGCCGCTGATGCTGTCGTTCAATAATGGCCTGTCCTTGGGAATTATATGGTATTCCTGTAATATGCTGAATTTTCCACCTTTTACAAAATTCCTGGAATTGACAGCTTGTGTAAGCAGGCCCATTATCAGTTTTAATAATTTTTGGAATTCCCATGACGGCAAAAGCAGCTAGGCAATGATTAATAACCTGTTTTGCCGTTTCTCCTGTAGCTGCAGTAGCCCATAGGACTTTTGAAAAGGTATCTACGGAGACATGTAATGCCCCAAGGCGTCCAAAGGAATTATAATGTGTTACATCCATTTGCCAGATATGGTCTTTTAGCAAACCTCTGGGGTTGACTCCTGTGTTAGGTCCTTGAGGTAGATGTAACATGCAAGTTGGACACTCCTTAATAATCTGTTTTGCCTGTTGTCGAGTGATTGAGAATTGTTTAGACAACATTTTGGCAGGCTGATGTAAAAGCTAATGAGATTCTAAAGCTTCTTTCAATAAAGCAACCAGTTGATCAGCCTGTGCATTTCCTTTTGTTAAAGGACCAGGTAAGACACTATGAGCCCTGATATGAGTGATATAAAAAGGATATTGTCTCTGTTGTACAATCTGCTGAACTTGTTTGAATAGTAAAAATAAACTTTGGTTACTAAGCCATTTCAATCTGGCAGTTTCAATTCTATTCACTAAGTTTGCAGCATAAAAGGAATCAGAGACAATATTAAGAGGTTCTTGGAAATCCTGCAATGCAGCCTTAATAGCTTCTAGTTCAATTCTTTGTACAGAAGTATGACTGGTCAGTATGACTCGGTCTGAATCTATTGTATGATAGGCAGCTTTCCCATTTGATGATCCATCAGTAAAAACAGTTAAAGCTCCAGGAATAGGTTCCTGCCTAGTATTTTTTGGTATAATGATGGAGGTATTATATAAAAATTGTAATAATTTATCTTTTAATAGATGACAACTAAGTTCCCCTGAATATCCACTTAACCCAATTTGCCAATTTATATCAGTCTGAAATAACATTTCTAATTGCTTCCCAGAGAGGGGGAGGTAGATACACTGGGGCTCATCTCTTCTAAGCTGTTTACAACGTTTCCTAATTTGAAATAATAATTGGGACAATAATTCTACATATGTAACTGCAGTTTTAGAGGATTGATGTCCTAGGTGGACCCATTCAATAATGGCAGGAGAATTTTTATTTTGAAAGATGACTCCAGTGGGACTATTTGCAGTGGGGTTAATTTGTCCCAATAAAGGCAATTCGGGCTGTACCCGTGCTACTTGAGCTGAGGAAATTGCCTGCTCAACCCTTAGCAATTTATTCCTAGCTTCATCAGTTAAAGTTCGGGGAGAAGAAAGATTAGAATCACCTCTGAGTAAACTAAATAAATTTGTCATTTCTCCTGTAGATATCTTCAGATAAGGTCTTAACCAGTTAATGTCTCCTAATAATTTCTGAAAGTCGTTTAAAGTTTTAAGACAACTTTTTCTTATCTCCACCTTCTGAGGCCTAATGCTTTGGTTTTCAATTATGGTTCCCAGATATTGGAAAGGCACTTCTTTTTGTACCTTCTCTGGAACGATTCTTAAGCCCCATTTAGGGAGCTCCTCTTCTAACTGGGAGAACATGGCCAAGGTCTGTTCCTCCTGTGGGCTTGCTAAGAGCAAGTCATCCATGTAATGAATAATGTAACACTGGGAATATTTGTCTCTTAAAGGCTGAACAGCTTGAGCCACATATTTTTGACACAAAGTAGGGCTATTGGCCATTCCTTGAGGTAAAACCTTCCATTGATATCTTTTCATAGGCTCTATATTATTAATAGATGGCACTGAAAATGCAAATCTCTTTTTATCTTGAGGTGCCAAGGGAATTGTGAAAAAACAATCCTTAAGATCTACTACTATGAGGGACCAATTTAAAGGGATTTGTGAAGGCGCTGGAAGTCCAGGTTGTAAGGCTCCCATGGTATGCATAGTAGCATTAACAGCTCTAAGATCATGTAACAATCACCATTTTCCTGTTGCCTTTTTAGGGATTGTAAATATAGGCGTATTCCAGGGACTATTGGAAGGTTCTATGTGGCCAGCCTCTATTTGTTCTTGTATTAATTCCTGAATTTTACTTAATTTCTCCTTGGTTAATGGCCACTGATCCACCCATACAGGTCTATCATCTTTCCACTGTATAGGATCAGCATGAGGGTGAAGAGACTGAGCAGTGACCACTCCTAAAAAGGTTGATATCCTATTTGAGTTACGAGCTTCTTTCCTTTGCCAGTAACAATACATGCTTGTAAACCTTCTAAAATATCTCGGCCCCATAAGTTGACTGCAATTCCAGAGATGACGTAGGGCTGAAACCATCCTGTCTGTCCTTCCTCATCTTGCCACCTTAACACTGCTGCACTACGTTGTGTGTCATTAGGAATTCCTACCCCCTTAACTGAGCCCATAGCTTCTACCGTAGACCAACTTGGAGGCCAGAACTCTTTGCTGATAACACTTACATCAGCTCCAGTGTCCACTAGACCCTTAAATTGTTTTTCCTCTATCCTTAAATTAATCATAGGACGGTTTTTGCTAATTTCATGTATCCAATAGATGTCTGAACTTGCCAATCCTTGCATTCCTCTTTTTCTATTTAAAGCCTCACCTTGCTGAACATAAGGTAGAAGTAATATCTGAGCAATTCTTTGTCCTACAGTAATTTGCACAACATGATTACATTCTAATATAACTTTAACTTCTCCTTTATAGTCTGAATCAATGACTCCAGGCAGGACAGTTAGTCCTTTTAGAGTGTTTCCACTCCTCCCTAAGATTAATCCTAAAGTTCCCAGTGGTACAGGTCCCCAAATTCCTGTAGGAATAGCTTGCCGAGCCATGTCAGGGGTCAAAGTGACCGCTATAGTGCTGTTAAGATCCAGGCTTGGGCTTCCTGGGGTTGCTCGGATGAGGGAATCCACTGTGGGCCTTGCAGGGCAGATTTCCCCTATTGATGACGGGGCTGGGGGTCGCCCCTCTGGCCGTTTCCCGGTAATTGACCATGCCCTCTATCTTGATCTAGAGGCTGCCCGTTTCGATGAAATTTTGATCTACACTGACTGGCCCAGTGGTTCCCTTTCTGACATCTAGGACACCGAGAGACTGAATCTGGAGGCTGAGTGTTTATGCCTCTCCCAAGCCTTCTCGGCTGCCTACATTCCTTCTGAAGATGTCCTCCTTTTCCACATTTATAACACCTCTTATTTCCACTTGTTACTGCAGCAGCAAGTAAATTCGCTTGAAAAGTGCTTGATCCTACATTCTGACATGCTTGGATCATTTCTGTAATGGTACTATTTTTTTCTCAAAGGCATCAGGCATTTTTTACAATCAGCATTGGCATTTTCATAAGCTAATTGTTGAATTAAAATATCTCCTGCAGCCTCATGTTGAATCTGTCGTTTCACTGCTAGAGTGAGACGAGCCACAAAATCAGAAAATGGCTCTAAAGGTCCTTGCATACATTTAGTAAAAGATCCCTGTGGATCTCCTTTTGTTGGTAAAGCATACCAGGCTTTTCTACCACAAAGTCTAATTTGCTCATACGCCTGTTGCACATAATGTAGCTGACTTTGTATATCCATATACTGTCCCAGTCCTGCCAGCATTTCATGAGTTATTTGAGCATTTGGCCCTCCGTTTGCGCGGGCTTGCTCTTGACATTGTTCCAAAAATTCTCCTTTCCATAGTAAATAATCTCCTCCATCCAGAGTTGCACGAGCCAGAGAATACCAATCATAAGGAGCTAAGAATGCTTCAGAAATACTATTCACAATTTCTCTTGTAAAAGGAGCCGTTGGACCATTTTGAACAACACTTTCTCGCAAAGCCTTTATCATTTTAAAGTCAATTTTTTCATGGTATCTTATTATCTGATTTTGGACCTGTGGGTCAGCTACTTGTACAACAGGAAAAGCAAGCCTTTCTTCCACAGACATGTCCTTCATTCCTTTTCTGATGGCTCTCTGTATAGATGATTCTATTGGTGGTGAATTAAATGTTCCAGGATTAGGACATGGAGGTGAAGGGGGCCGTAAAGGCCATTCCTTCAAGTTTTCTTCCTTCTCCTCTCTAGGAGGAGCAGAGGGAAGCAGGCGAGGAGCTTCCTCCTCAGCCTTTCTAAAAAGCTCTAATAATCTAGATACTGCGTTCCCCATGGAAAAACAGTTTTTCTGAGGTGCCTTTTTTCCTGCTGCTAAGCCCCTTTTCTTCAAATTTTTTTTTTTTACCACCTTTTGCTAAACACTCAAGATCTAATGTACCTTCTTCAGCAAACAAAGGGTTATATTCTAAAACAAAAACTATAAAAGAATACCTTCTGAAACTTTTAATTCTTTAAGCATACAAATCAAAATTTTATAATAAAACTTACTTTAAATTTATAACCTAATTCTTCCCCATTAGCCTGGTTAAAAAGGACGTTCCCACCCTACTTACAGTTCGCGACTCTGCAGCTGGCCGTGGGCTTTTGAGTGCGGTGAATTTCCCTCACCTTTTTCTGGTGAATTTCCCTCACCTTTCCTCGGTGAATTTTCCACACCTTTTCTCGGTGTATTTTTCCTTCTTCGCTCTAGGCGAAAAATACCTTCTCCTCCAGAAGTCCCGCGTTGAAGGCGCCAGATGTGGGATCCCTTAACACGACCCGCGTGGTTCAGGGCCCACTCAGGGTCCGGTTTCTGGAGAAGGCCGCACACTAAAATGAAGAGAGAGACTGGAAAAGAGTTAATTTGGGAAAATGGGGGCCAGGCGGGAAGTCTACCTCTAGTGGGAAGACTAACCGCTCTTTGGCCTTTTACCATTCCTTTTATTGAGATTCTGAAACAAAGATATCTCTTAAGGAGGAAGTTCTAACAGCAGAAAATCAACTACATTTACATATGATTAACAGATTAAAGTTGCCTCAAGCACTACTATCTCAACTATACAAAGAGTTAATGCCTCTGACCATTCAGAGCCATCAAGGTCGCATAGCTCTTTTTACATTTTATCTCCAATGACAATGCTAGGTTTTGGTTCCCTGTTCCTGGTTCCTGGTTCCAGGTTCCCGGCACTCTTGATCATGAATAAAAGATAAAACCTTGCTTTCTAACCAAAACCCAGTGTCTTCCAAAGTAGTCAGGTAAACTTTTCCTTCTGTGCAGAACTTGTGCTGAAGGTGGATGCTCAGCCGGCAGTGCAGGCTGAAGGCTCGCAGGGCAGCCGTTTCACCGAAGTACTCAGCTTTCCCACCAGGCGGCTGAAGAATTGATTCCAGATCCATCTTGGACATTCCAAGTGCTCTCAGAAGGTGGCTTAGCTTCTTCCGGGGCGCAGAGAGCAGGCATTCTCGGTTCTTTGGGTGGGTCAGCAAGTACTCTATGTAAACCAATGCCAATTCGGGCTTCAAGGGGCGTGGGTCATGGATTTGAACCTTCCGCTTAGATGCTGAGTTAGTCTTTCCCTGGGGGGGCTCCTCTGGCAGCCAGTCGCAGACCAGTTCCAGAACGTGCCCGACGTGTCCCCAGGAGCAGAGACAGTCCAGCAGCGTGCAGTAGCTCCTGTCCGCAGCCCCCTGCTCTTGGTTTCTCAGGGTGGAAATCACGCCGCAGCTGAAGGCGGACACGGAGGAAGGCGGCATGAAGGACATCAGCATGAAGAGAGGGATCTTGCAGCGGTCATCCTGGAACACCTTCAGGTACTCAGGGAGCACAGAGGCGAACTTGTCGATGGTGTAGAGTCTGGCCTCTTTGTTCTTCTCCATGCTTCTGTGAATGCTCTTCCAGAGAATCACGATGATTTCTAGCAAACCTGCCATGGAGGCAGCATCGCTAACGGACAGGGTTTTATCCAGAACACTCACGTTCTCCTTCTCCCGCTCCTCGTCCTCCTCCTGGCGCTCTCGGATTGTCTTCCGGATGCAGGCATTTAAGCAATGGCGAATCACATGAATCAGCTTTGCTATGTTGGTGCAGGCGGTGTGCTCGTGGGCGTACTGGTAGAACCTCCTGGCAGCAGCGTGGTTCATCTGCAGCAGCGTGACGCAGCGCTCACACCACACCTCCTCCGGCAGGTTCACGGGCAGGAAAGAGTTAAAGATGAGGCTCACCAGGCGCCGACACACAGGCCTGGAATCTGATTCCAGACGAACCAAAATATGCTCCATGGGGCATATCTTCCAAAACTTGGCAGCCCTTACGGCTTTAACTTTCAAGAGCATTTCCACAAAAGCCACTCTCACTTTCTCCGAATTGTCATGGAGACTGTATTTTAGGGCTGGCAAAAGCTGTTCTAATAATGGGTGGCTTAATTTGTTATCCAAAATTATCGGTAGACACTTAAAGACAGAACAACGCACATCGGCTGAGCTTGCATCAAACGCCAGATCCCCCATCACTTTCTTGAGGAGGTCAATGAGAATTGTCGGAGGCATCATCTCCCAGTATCTGGAAGTTATCTTACAAACTCCAAGGATCCCTGCGGATCGGACCATTGGATATGGATCTTCTAAAAGGCTATAGAGCTCTTCAAACTGCTTCTGAATTTCACTGTCCATTTCAATAGCATTGAAGTTTGGATCCCTAATAGAAAATGCTTCCACGAACAGCAGTGCAGCATTGGAGCGAACCTCTGAGTTCCTGGCCTTCAGGCCTCTCCAGAGGATGGGCTTGTACAGCCGGTAGAGCATCTCCTCCACGCCTTGCCGAACTCTCTTCTGATGGTGAAAGTAACTCAGCACCTCCCGCACTCTGGCGTGCACTGGAGACCTCCGCGGGAGGTGAATCCCGTGGTACATGAAGACCTGGATGCAGTCACTTTCGATCGTCTCCAATATCTTCCCGGAAGCCTTTCTCCAAGCTCTGAAATAGACTTCTGCAATGTGTACCATCAAGGATTTCTGTAATCCCTGTAACTGATTTTTAATGGTTCCATGGATCATTTTAATAAAATTTGAATTCCAACTGAAGAGAGAACTAAGAAATCTTCTTCCCTCTTCTTTCTTGATATAATTAACACTTATGAAGCACTCAAGTAGCATATTTTTAATTTCTCTACTTTCCTCCAAATTATAATCAAAGCAATACAAAGCTTGATGAACATGCCAAAGCCGACTTATGTCTGCACCGGTTTTCGTCTGGAGGCTCTTCCTGAGCAGCAAGGTGAAAGCGGTCTTCCCCATGTCCTCTTTGGCAGGCAGGCCCTTCTCCCACCACGTCACGCACAAGCCCTGGATGGAGCTCTGCAGCTTTCGTTCCGATTCAGGTAGTGCATACAAAATACCATTCAGTATAACAGCACACTCCAGCAAGGCCTCATAGTTCTCACTCTCATTGATGACAGACACAGAAGCAAGAATCACAGATGTAATTGCATGGGTTATTTCTAGGGTTTTTTTCATTTTTGAATGGCGGTCTGTTTCCATACTGCCTTCCCCCTGGGCTTCCAGGGCCCCCCATCCCTCCACGGGGCTTTCTAGCAGCACATCTGTTAACAGAGTCTTGAGCCTCTTCCAGAGCTCCTCTTTCTGTTTCCTTGATAATTCATCTAGTAATTCATTTAGGCTGAAAGGGTCAGAAGCATCTTCATCAAGTTGAATGAATTGCAAAAATTCTCCAATCAGCTCCTTAGACACAGCATGCACAAATATTTCACGTTTTTCCATGACAGATGAAACGGCGCATTTATTCTGTGACCCTGCCCCTCTCGCGAGAGCCTCGCATTATCTTTTGTTATTATTTTATTTTTCTTCTTTTACTCACCACTCATGTTCTAGCTACGTGACTGGATTCATCCGGAGAACAGTATGCCAGTGGCAGAAAATGCTGGAAAAACAAGGAATCAAACCATGAAATACAGACAGAGAACCGCCTGTTATCATTTCAGAGGGCACAGAAAGCAAGCTCCCCTCTGTTCTACTCATCTCCAAATGGGGCCCCACTACTAGCACTAGAAATTCCCTGAACTCTAAGGAAATGTCCCCTCTTAGAAATAAAGGACAAAGCAGGAAACTCTTGCAGAGGATAAACCTGGAATTGCATCCTGTCGGGCCAGACTCCCTCATAGGTAGAGGTGGACTATATTAGCTGTTGGAGGGGCCACAGAAGTAAATGAAATCATCACTTTCACCTGCTGCTACAATTTTACTGTTCTTGATGCTTCTTACTCAGACTGGTGAGTCCGGGTGTGGAATGGAAACAGCTCTGAGAATGCTGCCACTTTATGTTTTCAGTTCCTGTCACAATTAGGTGGAGTTAGCTGACTAGGTCATTTCCAAAGAAAAGCTTCCCAAGAGGAGTTCATCTCAGAATGAGAAATGTAGAAGCACCTAAAATTGTAACTGCCTCAAAAGAGTTGCTCAAAAGTGTTGTTTAAAAACAGAGTGAATTTGTGCACGAGTAAGGGAATGGAAGAGACTCAGGAGGAGAGGAGTCACAAAGATCTGATTAGAAACCAGGAAGGGACTTGGATACCCTAGACTCCCATGAAATGAGATGTAGAAAGGGTACTGAATAAAATGTTAACCACTGGAAAGGTTTGCCCCAATGCTGTGTCTTTTGCCCTGTTCTGAACTTCCACATACCACAGAATACATAATTAGGGGGGATAACTATGACTAAAGTATCTAATATGTTTCTGGACCCTATATGCTTGAAGTGCTTGGAGAGGGTTATTTTTTAGTCACGAGGTGCCCGAAAGCTATCACTGATATTCTGATCTCCTCCCAACTCCTACAGACAGTTCTCAGCAATCGGCCTCCCCAAATGGCCAGATTTCTGGTATAATGTGGGCTTTCAGCACCAAAAACAAGGAATATAGCAAAAAGACTTGCCTCAATTGTCCCATGTATAAAATGAAGACTAAAAATAATTACCTTGGAAAGTTGTGAGTTCTTAACTTAGTGCTGAAGACAACTGAGGTGCCAAAGAATTATTAGATTTTCTTGTGCTCACCCCCAATCCAAGTGTGTAATTTTCCCAAAAGGAGAAAAAGAAGTGGTTTTGAGGAGCAGTCCAAAACATTTAAGGTAACAGAAACAAATACTCTGTCAGAGAGAAATGTTCTCCTCCTCCAGACCAGGAGAATAAAGGTAAGTTGAGAGGACTGAGGGGGAACCGAGTGCCTGATGAGGAATGACGAGAAGTGGTGGGAATGAGGGTGAAGGGGTGCTACAGGGAACACAGAGAAAACCATCAGAGAACAGAGAAAACATTACCTGGTTTCTGTCTTTTCCTGTCACTGAGTGCGTCTTGTTTTTCCAGTTGGTGGACATGACTCTGAGCTCAGGAGAAATTCACAAGACAGAAAATGTTCCACAACATTGAATCATGTGAACTGACATTGCTTTCTCTATGGGAGACTTTTTGTGCAAAAATAGAAATATGTAAGCACAGTTCTCAAAAGCCTCTGCAAATAAAAACTTCAGCAAGCTCTTCTAAACTTTGACAGCATTTTTACCCTTATCCCCTCATGTCTCCACAAACTGACAAAGAAAAGCTTGAAAATTTCAAATGACTAGCAAGTAGTACAGCAACTCTTTCATACCTCCTCCAGCACAATCACACAGTCTGAGACTGTTACTGCATTGCTGAAAGCACCTTCCTAAGAAAGGCGGCTCAGGTGTAGCCATTCATACGGGCTTGCGGTGAAGGTGCCCAATAGGTTGGCAAGGTAAGACCTGAAAGCCCAGGGGAGGTCTAGGTCCATCCTGATTGCTGGGAAGCTCAGCCAAAGCACACTTTGTGCTCATTAGCCAAAAATGAGTGCTGGAAGATCCCAGTGCGAATTCCCACTGAAACTCAGTGACTCACAGCTTACTTTTAGATCATCTTGCTAATGTTTGTCATGAGTTTAATTATTATATACAGTAAAGACATGTATTATTATTAGAAACACTATCAGGTAAACAGTAATTTAAATTTTTCTACATATTTGACTTTGTTGCTCAGGTTTTTTTTTCCATCTGCAATTGCAAATTCAAAAGCTGAAACTAGATGTCAATGAATGAGTTTAACACAAGTTAGACAGACTTAAAAAGTATTAGTGAATCAGAAAAGTATTAGCGATAGATCAGAAGAAAGTAAGAGCCTCCATCGGAGAGCATTTTCTTTCTCCTTTAAGAGCTCTTTTTCATTATTCCTTTAGTGAAAGTCTTCTGATATATTTATCTCACCTTTATTCTTAAAGGACATAAAATCTTAATTTGTTTAAATCCAGTGCTTTAAAGATAATATTTCACTGTCCTCTGTCTCTTTGTTCATCCAATGTTTCTCCTGAAGTCAACTATTAGTCTAATTCAGTGATTTTCAACTGATGTGCTGTAGCACACTGGTGTGCTGCAAGAATTTTGAAACTAGCAATACCTGACTATTTAGTCAAGGGCACTGACCTTTTTTCCCTTAGATTATCAAATAAGAAAATGACAACAATAGCCATCCAGCGTGAATGAGTAAAATTATATTAATTATTTGTCAGATTGGCAAAAAATATAATAATTTAGAGGCTCAGTGCATGGATTCATGCACTGGTGGAGTCTCTTGGCCTGGCCTGTGCCCTCTCAGAGGATGTCTTATAGCTGGTTTCAGCCTGATCCAGACAGAAGGGAGCCTGATCCCTTCAGACCCAATCCAGACAGGGAGGCAGCCCAATCCTGTACATTGAACATGTGTTTCCTGATGGTCAGTGTGCATCATAGCAGCGGGTTGTTCAGTCATTTGGTTACTTAGACTTTTATATATATAGATGTTCTATGTGCTACAAGATGAAAAGGGTTGAAAAATCTCTGGTCTAATTGTACTTTTCTGGAGTTGTCTTTTTTTTCTTGCCACTTTCAGTATTAATGTCCTTTGATTTAGTAATTTTATTATGATGTGAAAATGTGTGGTTTTCTTTTTATTTATCATATTTGGAATTTATTTATAGGACTTCTAGCATTTGTAATTGACATATAGTATGTCCCAAAAATCTATACACACACTTTGAATAATTAAAAAGGCAGCATTTATTAAAATACACTTTATTTTTTTATTAAAATACATTTTTAAATTGAGCTATCAGCTGTTAAAGTATGTATATATTTTTGGGGACACCCTGTATTTTTTTTCAGTTTAGAAAAATTTCACCCATTATCTTATATATTGCCCCATTTTCTCATCCATTACTCATTCTTTCTCTCTTCCTTGGAATTCCACTTACACGATGGGTATGACTCTGATCTCAGGAAAAATTCACAAGACAGAAAATGCATTCTATACATTATGTATGTCATACTGTATTTTTTTAAAATTTTCTCTATGCCTTGCTGTACTTATTTTCTTCTTACCTATCTTACATGTCACTAGCATACTCCCAACAATGTCTAATCTCCTTTAAATGTATACATTGAGATATTAATTTCAGCCATTGAGTTATTTCTAGAATTTTCACTTAGATATTTTTATGGTTTCCAAAAATAATATGCTAAAATTCTCAATCTGTTTTCAACCTCCATAAATAGTTTAAACTTTAAAGTAGTTTATCTGGATCTGTTTCCAATGACTCTAGTTTTTGTTTCCCATAATCTTGTTTAATTTTTTTCTATTGAGAACAGGATATTAGTATGAAATTATGGAAATTAATCAAGACTCTGGATTGCAGTTTCTTCTTCCAGAGCAAATTTTCATTTGACATGGATATCATCAATTCTGGATCATTATTTGTAACTTCAGGGGCTGAGATGAAGCTGGGTTTCAGCCCATGCCAAGTCAGCCAGCTTCCAATCCATTTGTACTTCAGGGTGTTGTCCTTTGAGTTTCCAACCCATACCTTTGGTGGTCCCTGAAATCCATTTTTTTCCATTAACTTTAGGTTTATATAATTAGGTTTACATGAGGTCATAGGAGTGGGTCCCTCATCATGGGATTATCTCCCTTACAAGAAGAGACCAGAGAAGTTGCTTTCTGTCAATCTTCACCACCCAGTCTATGGTATTTTTTATGGCAGCCTGAGCTAATGCACTACAGGAGATGTTCCTTCTCAGTCCAAGACAAATGCCTTCATCTATGCTTTAGATATTATTTCATTCTGCTTCCTCTGAGACCTAGCGTCTTCAAACTTGTTATTTCTCCAGTTGATATTTTTCTTCTTCCTTTGTGTTTTGCATTTAATAATTAGCACATTCAAACTATTTGCTCCATTTGTGTGTATCATAACATTTTTTTTTTCTAAAAAGACTTTCCCATGCCCTAGCTGGTTTGGCTCAGTGGGTCTGCGGACTGAAGGATTCAAGGTTCAATTCCGGTCAAGGGCACATGCCTGAGTTGAGGGCTCAATCCCCAGTGGGAGAGTGTGCAGAAGGCAGCCAATCAATGATTCTCTCTCATCATTGATGTTTCTGTCTCTCCCTCTTCCTTCCTCTCTGAAATAAATATATTAATTAATTAATTAATTAAAATAAAAATACTTTCCCAGTCCCACATACCCTTGTAGCTTCTGACTAAATTATCTCATTTTCTCACACCTAAGTATATTAAAGTAATAATTGTATTACCTGGCTATCATTTTTGCATCAACCACTCTACTGAAGCATCTCTATGGTTTACTAATGATCTCTGAAACCAGTATGAATTTGCTCTCAACCCTGAGATTTATAAAACAGCATTTTCTATATTTCCCAATGTTTTTGTTGTTTATTTTTAAAAAGTTTTTATATTATGTAATTT